CGTCCCGTGCATTTGTAATCAACGTACTGGTAGATAGTCAGTGAAGTAAAGTAAGTAATACGCATGCTGCTCTATGTGTGCTTAAAAAATTGCACAAAGTTCGAGTTACTCTGTGTGCCGCCCCCGTGGACGTATAAGTGCAAGTGGGTGGTGTATGTATTTGGTGTGTGCCCGTCTCAGTCATAGAACTGTTGCTGAAGTCACGTAATTCAAATAACTAAAGTTGGCGTAAATATGCCGAGCATACAACACAGCAGAGACACACTCCACAACCCCACAACCCCCCCACCACCCCACACTCGCTTGCAGCAGCAGCAGCAGCAGCAGCATTGGAGTTACGTCGAGTTACTGGCGAAACACAATTGCTTATGCACTTACTTGTTGTTTTCTTGTACCGACTTAAAGCTCATTAATTTTACTAATTTTCTTTATATATTTAGACTGCCAGAGTTATGACAGCCTTCCCGTATAGAGAGAGACACACTCTCCCGTATAGAGACACACTCAGACACATTATTAAGATATTATTTTTGGGCACTTTCTTCAAATGATAGCTGAGAATACTGTTCAGTTAATTACTGTCAAACTGCAATGTGTGATCGAGGATATAGGGACACAGAAAGCAGCAGCTCTTTGTCATTAAAATTAAATCATTTTGTAGCTTAAGTGTCGCAACGAATTCGTAAGATTAGAGAAGGGGGCCGGGGTGGGGGTGGGGGCGGGGGTTGAGCTGCTAATTACTTTCTAAGCCCTTTTCGTAGGAGCCAGGGTGTGGGGTGGGGAGAAACATATTTGGAATGCTTATTGCGCTTTGTACAGTTTGGCAAGCACTTAAGCTGCCCGCTACTGGAAGCACTTGACGCGCCCTGCTTTATGAGTAACCCCCCCAGCCCCCCCCCCCCCCTGGTCCTTGCACGAGACTTCTCATTGCTTTTGATGCGCTTACATGGGGTACATCGGTTTTGTACACACTTGAGGGTAACGCAAAGAAGAAACTATTTTCAAATATTAGCATCACAGTCGAGTCCTTGCCCACCCCACACCTCTTATTTCATTTGGGATATAGCCGCCAATATCTGATGAATATATAATTTTAATATGTTTGGAAATTGCTGCACCAGCAAGTGGCCGATGTGACAACAAGTCGAGGCTTATTACGCGGAGATACCAGGCAGAAGGCAACCGACCGAGGGGCACTGCCGCATGACGCGCAACGCGTATAGCCAAACCAGCCGCATATATCATTATGAACAAAATTATTGCAAAACCACAAGTGCTTTCATGCTAAAATTAATTCACCCATATTGAAGAAAGTTTTATTTTATTTTTAGTCTAAAAATGGTATTCAAATCATTATTCGGGTAAATTTAATCCATTTCAGCACCACAAGTAGAGCCTCTTGAATATTTTCAAATCATTAAAATTGTACAGCTGTACAGCAAAGAAGTGACTGATTTGCAAGGGCATCTGAAGATGCGGTCCTCGAATATTTTCTATTTTCCTGTATTTTTTTTTTTCTTTAATTAGTTACCCGATTTTTCTGCACTCTTGCCCGAGATTGTGGAGGCTACTTTATATGTTAATGAGTTTTTTTGCGGCGTCGTCGTCTTCTGACACAGATTTCCTTTGTCTTGGCCATGAGTGAAGCGCCTGCTGCCTGCTGCTTCTTCAGCTCCTTCTGGTTAGACCAATTGAATTGGAAAACAGCTTTCGCGGGTACCATAATGCACACACACAGTGAGAGACTCGTAAGAGTCCGGGGGGAAAAAAAAGCAGAGGAAATGCTGAAAATTTCACAAAATACGAGTATGAAAGTCGCCTCGCTCCGCTGTCCTGCTGCTTATCGCTGAAATGGTTTGGCAGGGCAGGGCACCTACATAGAAGGGCAAAGCAGCGGTGGTGGGGGGCGCTGGGCGCATGGCAAAGCGGCCGCTTTTTGCCAAAGTTCAAATTGCATTTGCTGGAGCGCAGCAGTGAGAGAGAAAGCGGGGAAAAAAGCAAAGACCGAAAAGAAAATGTGGAAAAGCAAAAAGCATTTGATAGACAGAGAGGGGGCCGACAGGAAGAGCACAAACACACACAGCCTCTATTTGTGCATGTGTGCGTTGTGTGTGTGTGTGTGTGTGTGGGTGTGTGTCGATGTGTCGGGCTGGCAACATTTTCTTATCTAAACAATATTGCGACTGCTGCACTTCCAAAGCGACTGCAACAACATCCACGCTCCTCTGGCTGATTGAACAAAGTTTGCTTGCATACATTTTGTCGTTGGAGTTTTTGTCATATCTACTTACAGGGCATCCAAAAGGGTAAATCTATGCTGAAACAGCGGCAGCCTGGACATGGCCATGTCCATGGGTAAGTTCAATATTTTGCTGTTGTCCCACTTTCAGCCGTTCCAATCGAATCGGGTGTCCACTGTGCTGGGTATCAAATAGTCGCTTTGACTTCCACCTGGCCCCTCAACACAATTTACTTTTTGTGGTTGTTGCTGCTCTGCTGTTTTTGTCCACAACATGTGCTGCCAATGACTCCATGGACGGAAAATGGAGCCAAAATGTTGGTCAAGTTTGTGGCAAAAGTCTTAAAGGCTACGCGAAATGGCACAAATTAAGGTTTATTCAGGAATAATAGTTTAGGGGCAACTGTACAGCAGTTTGAGCAGCAATACGTGCAGCCAGCCCGTTCAAATTTCAGTTGCATGTGCTAATGCTACAGTTTTCCCATCACTGATGCACTTTGCGATCTTTGAAAATTTTCAAGTCCGCACACTTTGATTATGCTTGGAAACATTCACAAAATACTTCCTACAGTTTTAGTCATACATTCACAGTTTTACGGGAACTATAAAAAATAAACACAACAAAAATTCAACATCAAACCTGATGAAAATCGGTGTTAGAGGCAGTCAAAAGATAGAAAGTGAAGCATCGATAATTTGGAAGCTTCTGACATCCTTGGTTATACTTCATACAGTGGCAGCAATATACGATAGGTCATCCCATCCATGATGAAATTATACAATGTGGTCTGGTGTATTCCCGCAACGCGCAAATACACAGCAAACTTCGCTGTGATTGCATGTGTGCAAGTGATGAATTGGATGTGTGTGAGTAGCAAAAAAATCCCGAAAGAGAGGGAATACACCAACTTGTATAATTTCATTATGGTCATCATGGTTGCAGAACATTTAATCCTCTTAAAAATAATCTTAATCAAATAAACCAATCCAAAAGGAATCCAATTTCATCACAGCATCAGGTGAAGACGCAGCAACAGCAGAAGCAGGAAAACAAATACAGAATCCTGCGGTCAAGCACTTCAGCATTGCCAAACATATCGCATTGATTCTACACTCTGGGCACTGCGTCAGCTATTCATCTTGCAACTTCACTAAGATAATGCTCCTCCCATTTCTGTCCTGAGTTTCTAGTTGCTAGTGCTAGTTTCTATACAAATTATTCGCCAAAGGCATGTGAGCGTGAGCCTTGCTTCTGATTGCCGTGCTGTACGCATCTGAACGATTCAGGGTTATGTGTGACCTTTGGGTAGTCTTTCGCTTGTTGCTTGATGTTGTATAATGCTTTTATTTCCCTTTTGAGGAGCCACTCTTATTAACTTTCCATTTATGGTGGAGCATTATAGCTCTTGCAGCTCTATGTCGAGCTGCCCTTGAGCCACTGGTCGCTTGTTCACCTTCTTCCTGCACCTACCCATCACACACTACTGGAGAAATCAAAAGACATATTAATAAAGCTTCTGTAAATTTTGTGCTCACACAGGAATTTCGGGCTCATGCTGTTTGGCCTCCTTCCTTACAAAAGGCGTCACTGGTTTGGGCGTGCAATTTTTGAACATTATTTTTATGGAACGTCTATTATATTTTCCGATTTAATATAATATAATATATATAGTTCAAATGAGAGATCAATTTCGTACTTAACGCGCATTCTTAACCATCTAAAAGAACAACACACGAAACGTTTATTTAAATTGTTTATTTTTTGTTTTTACTAAAACCTATTTTGTTTTGTATCATCTGGTTTTTGTTGATAGTTCATTCTGTTGTTGTTGTTGTTGTTGTGTATCTCTTCTGTAGTTTATTGCTTGGGAAGCAGCTATATTACAATGTAACTGAACCATTGCCCATCTTTAACAAATGTAGTAATGGGATTTATTTTGTAGTTTTTTATTGTTGTTTTTGTTTTGTTTTGGTTTTTCCCCTCACAACGTTTTGGGCTAACGCTTCGTCTCTTTCTATCCGAACTCCCAACTTCTTTCTCTCTCTATGCGTCTGTCTCTTTCTAGGCGCGCCACAAAGGTAAAAGTTGGTTTAACAAAGTTTTTTGTTTGTTATTAATAACTAATTGTTAATTTATAAATTATAAACTTAAAGCAGTTTCGTTACCAATTTTACAATGTAACATACATTTAATACGCATTTATTATTAACTCATTTCATTTCGGATTTTGAAAAAACTATGGATGCTCCTGATGCTTCTGTGTATTTGTGTGGTTTATGGTGTGTTTGTGGTTTTGTGGTTGTTCTTGGTTCACTGGCTGTTTGGTTTATCTTTTTTATCAAAATAAATGCGTACGTTTCTTCTCCTTTTTCATCTTCTAGGAAGCAACTTAAAATGTACAGTGACAATTCTTTGTTGGATGCGTGCTTTAAAATGTTTTGGAAATGTTGAATATTCCTAGATAACTAACTGAAAACTCTCTCTTTGTCTCTTTGTCTCTTTTCAAAGAACGAAGGAAACGACGACGGAGGCGACGGCTACTTAATTCCCATAAACTTGAACAAGTCCTCCTCTGTTGCAGACAAACAATGCCGCAAATAACATTTCGAATTAGCCAAAAGAATTGTCTGTTTGTGGTGGTGGCGTGGCGGTGTTTTGTGTGTGGACAAATGATGTGCTAAAATTGTGTGGATGTGTGAATGTGAATGTGGTCTGGGGGCAGGGGGTCTGTGGCTAAAATTTGGTTAATGCAGCTACCGGTTAACCGATCATCAGCCCACAGCCCAGTCTGAAGTTGTTCTTCACATGGTTCATGCGGCCGCTCAGTAAAAGCGTGAATGGCAATGGCTGCAAACGTTTCTCCAGCACTCCCGAAATGTGCCAGTTGGTGTCAATAGAGCCTGCAAGGAAATGCACCAAACAATTATTGCCTGCTGTTCAGCCGGATAGCACATTTGTATTGTGAGACTCACCTCGGAAGACCAAATCAGCCTTGGGTAAATCAATCTGATAGGCAACAGTGGCGACTGACTCTTGCATGCGCAGGCTGGTCTCGACCTCGGCACCTATCTGCAGCTGTTCACTGGCTTTCTGGTAGAAGCACAGATGCAGTCCACTCAGTCCCAGAGTACCGGACCACGTCGTGTTGCCGCTTGTGTAGCGGCCCATGCCTGAGACAAGGGCAATCTGGCGCCCGGGCACATTCGGCCCATACTGATAGGCTATCTCGGCGCCCAAGGCAATGGCCGGAGTTACAGACTGCAAATACTGGCCAACGATTACGCCAGAGTTGTTGAATATGTTCGGATTGGCCATGGTGAGCGAGCCCGTGAAGTCGTCGCCGCGATAATCAGTTGTCAGCTGTGAGGCCACCATCTTCGAGTCCTGGACCTGTAAGAAGATTCCAAATGCATAAGAGACTGATGCTGCTAATGCCGGCGCATTAATCTACTCCACTCTGAAGACTTACCTGCGAGGCAAACTTGCAGCGTACGCGCGGCGAGAACTGGTGAATGATATTGGCATTCAGATTGCCAGATGGATCAATGTCGCCCAGGAGCACAGGGAATGCCTCGGTGGGGGCTGAACTGCTTGGTGCCCACGTAGGTGGCCCCGAAGCGGTAGCCGCTCGGCACCGTGCTGCTCATGTTGATGGTGTGCGAGACCTGGAAGTGATTGCTGAGCCCCTTGTTCAGCATGATTTTGGCTCCCTCGAAGGTTACGGCCTGTATATCTGCCGGAGTGGATCGGTCACCACAGGACAGGAGAGAGGGGAAGAGAATAGGATAGTTGAATGAACAATGGCCTGATAATGCATAATCAAAGACAACAGCGCACACACACACACACACACACTCGCACACACGCACGCACTGCGGCCCCCCGCTCACATGTTGTAGGTTATGTCATCAGACAGCTGAGGTTTTTTTCTAGCCGCCTCGACTTTGGTCTATGAAAATGCGCACATAATGTGGTCGGTCGAACGGGATTCGCTTACCTTTGCATTTTTTGTGCAGTTCCTCTACGGTGCCTGGATTCTCCAGGAAAATATCCTTCCCGGCGGTGTCGGTGGCGGCGCCCGATAGCAATGTGTCTGTGGGTGCAACCACCGGCTCGGGAAGACTCAGACCGGCAGCCACACTGTTGCTCTTGCCTGAGGATGCCGCTAGCACGTTGCCCATTTTTTGTTCTAATGTTTTAATGCACAAAAATTGTTAACAATTTTTTTAAGCAGCACGCGCGATATGTCATATACAGTGTGACCGCGTATTTAACGATAAAATATACTGCCTGACCCTCAGGAATATACCAAAATATACCTTGTCATTATCAAAATATACCAAAAATATACTGACGAAAACGACAAGATGCGCTGATATTCCTCGATTTTGAAATTTGGTTTAATATTACTAGCTAGTTACCCCTGTCAGCCCTAAGCAAATAATTTTGTCCGATTCCTCAATAAGTTTTTTGCAATGTTGGCTAGTTTTCAGAACTCCTTTTTATTGGACTGTTTGCATAATAAGGTTTCACGAATTTATGGCATCACTTCAAAGCTGGTAATCTTTTTAATTGAGCTTTCAAGTATCACTCTATATGGCATGACATGGATAATCATGCTTTCCTCCAGCTCTACTGGAGCCATTTTGGGCTGATAAATATACAGATGCTTCATCTTTTACGCACAAAAACAAAAGAAACTCAAGCCATAACATAAACGCCATAAACGTCGTAACTGTGCCCTCGCTATGGTCACACTTTGATAAAAATGGTATTTTGTGATTTTATCCGCTCGGTCACATATATATAAATTAAATCAAAAATCAAATTCCGTAGACGGTGGTGCACCAGGCGTTAGCCTCGAAACGGGCAACCAGCAGCAGATGAATCTGATGCAGCCGGGTATATCAGGAGGCCAATCCCATCCAGCTCATGCCCAGCGTGCAGCAGAATTCCAAATTTAAATAATTTCTCGTCGTATCGTATTAATAAAAACTTTTATATTTCAAGTTCAAGTATAGCATTATGTATAGCTTTTCTTTCGTGTATATAGAGCCTATGCCTATGTATGATTTCCGGAGCACAGGTGCTCTGCTACGTATGTGTAAAGCTGAACAGACCCTTTTCCGAATGACTTGGATCCAATATTAATGTATTTGGGGGGGCTCACAAAATAATTCTACTAATCCCAGGGCGGGGGGTCACCAATAAACAACCCAATTATGTGGTTTGCTTAAAAACGAAACTAGAAACTAAAATTAGTTTTGCATATTAAGGTAACGAATTAATGATTTGGTTTCTCAGCTAAATTAGATAGTTTTAAGAGTGCCTACGGTGGTGGATCAAGGATGGACCGTCCACACAAAAGAATTCGACAAAACAATAATTAACAAGAGACAAATAATAAACTATGGAAGAAACATACAGAAAAAAAAATAAAATAAAAACCTCTATCGCTGGGTGGACAAACAAAACATTCAAAAGGGACCCAACAAACAAAAAAAAAAAAACGAATCAACAACAGGAGGATTTCTCCGGCTCGGCCACAACGAGATTAAAGTCGAGACTGTTGGGCGTCGCAAAGCCGGCCTTGATGCCGTCCCAGCCATCCTCCGCCTTGTACTCGCCGGATCGAATCCGGGCGTACACCTCCTGGGTGACCATGCGGAAAGCCTCCTCCACATTGGCTCCGGTGCGCGCGGAAGTCTCAACGAAATGCAGGCCATGTTGTTTGGCAAACGTTTGCGCCTCCTCTGTGGACACTTCGCGGTGGCCGCCCGCATTGATGAGGTCCAGCTTGCAGCCAACCAGCGCAAAGACGGGTCGGTGCGGCTCGATGTGACGCTGCGCCTCCATCATCCACAGTGGTATATGCTCGAAGCTGGCATGATTCGAGATATCATAGACGAGCAGAACGCCGACTGAATTGCGATAGTAGGATTTTGTGATGGAGCGGAAACGCTCCTGGCCGGCTGTGTCCCACAGCTGTAGTTTGATTTGTGTTCCATCCTTCATCTCGATGAGGCGGGCAAAGAAGTCCACGCCCACTGTCGGATCCGAGAGCTGCAATGGCAAAAAAAAAGGGAGACATTCTTGGGTAATATATTTAAATTGCGCGGGCAAAGTACTGCGAATGATATGGCAGCCCTGGTCTATACAGCTTTGTTGTTCCTTCCATTATCAGGCGAGCGCTCGCACTCACACCTACACACATGAGACACCATCTGAGAAGCCTGAGACGCAGGCTTTGTTCTTATTTTTTTTTGTAAAATAATCAGTGAATTATGTAAGAAAACGCATTAAATGCATCTGTTAAACAATCGCACTTGACACACATACACACACACACACTCAACAGCCACCGTAGTCGTGCACAGGAGGGGTGGGACATGAGACACATAAATGAATATGAATACAAACCTCGGCAAATTTTCCATCTGTAAAGAATTTAAGCAGCGAACTCTTGCCCACTGTGCTGTCGCCAATGAGTATCAGGCGGAATTGATACTCAAAAATGGGCTCGACCATATTGACTGGTGCAACGGCCCTTTGTGTGTTTCTAATCTTCGGGTTTAACACGCAAATTATGTTGTCGTCCTTGTTGTTTGGTCAGTGGTGTTGGGGCCAGCCCATGCCTCTTTTCTTCGCACCGGAACTAGATTACTGCACTGCTACTGGTGCACACTTGCTTTATTTATAGCTAATTAACGTTTCGATGCTCGGGTTAATCGTCAATTATAAATATACTACAAAATATTTAGCTGCCGTGACTTTGTTTTGTTTTTTTTCTAACAAAAACTGTGATTGTGTGGGTGAGTGAGTGATAAAAGCAAGTGTTGCCAGACCGTGGACAGCAGTTAGAAATGTGCTGTTAGGCGCAATACAAATTACCCAATAAATTGTTCATTAACCCTTTTGTAATTGATTGACTTGTTTTTGCTTTTTTTAATGCATACATTTAGCTAAATTATTGATTTAGCCAAATTCATTTGCAGATTAGAGCAGACTGTTCAAAACGTACTGTTAAAAAACGTGCTGTTATGCGCCACTGGCAACTGGTATGGCAGCGCCGGCCAACTGTCATACTGACATTTGCTCGATTTATATTAATTTTACGTTTGTTTTTTGTCCAAATTGCCTGGTTGCCGCAAAACAAATGAACAAGTCCACTATCAGGGGAACGGCAGCAGTAGTAACGAACCAACACCAGCGCCCGCAAACAGTAGGCAGGAGGCGCCCAAAGAAGATAGTCAGCAATTAAACAGAAAGTCTGCTGCCGGGTACGGGTACGTACTCCGTATCCGCCGTCTCCTTCTCCGTCTGAACACCGCACACATTCAACGTGCTGTGAGTTGTGTGCGCTGCGCAAGGTTACCGAACAATATTAATACCGTTAATTATAGCTGCAGCAGAGCCCGAGTATATGTATATTTAAGCATATATATACACCTACGTACATATATGTGCCTACACTCACCTACATAGATGTTAAAGTTTGTGCTAAACGACGCCGCTACCTGTGTGCGCAACAATGTGCGAGAGTTCAGCCTCAACGCTCTACGCCTCCTGCCGCACCTACCTCAGCTGAGTCCCTACGATGTAAGTACATATCTACGTTCGGCAAAGGGTAGGATTGTGATGTCCATGTGCTAACATATTTCTGTGTGTGTGTGTGTGTTTTTTTGTTGTTGTTGTTTGCAGGTGAATCTTCAGCTGCGTGAGAACGAATTTGTGTACAACTTCCCAGTGGATGATGGGATTGTGCACAGCTACGAGACGAATCAGCTTGGCTCCAATTCCCCCTGCGAGGACTCACGCACCGAGGCCAGTCTGCTGCATAGGAATGGCTTCATTTGCGGCATATTCGATGGGCATGGCGGCGCCGCCTGCGGCCAGGTGGTATCCAAGCGTCTCCTGCGCTATGTCTCTGCGGCCACACTGCCCCGCCAGGTGCTTAAGGAGCACATAAAGCAGAATTGCAACAGCCAGTCCTTCCTCAAGTGCCACAACGACAACGTGGACTTTGTCAACGAGATCAAGCCGATCTATGAGCACAGCTTCCAGAAGTACATCAAACAACTGGCCCAGACAGCGCAGCGGGACGTGAGCAGCGAACTGGTGCATGCCTTTCTCCAACTGGACGAGGCACTGTCCCACGAGGCGCTGGCCACCATTGATGTGCGCACCATGGGAGTGGCGCTGTCGGGTAAGATTGAGCCTGTATTATTGATTGTTGAATTTGTATATTGATATATTTGTAGGTGCCGTGGCGTGTCTGGTACATTTGGAGGGACTGCAGCTGCATGTGGCCAGCACTGGGGACTGTGGCGCCGTTCTGGGCGTACTCGATCCGCAGACGAATCAATGGCACCCAAAGAAACTCAACATCGAACACAATGCAGACAACATGGCCGAGGTGAAGCGCATCCTCGACGAGCATCCCAAGGAGGAACACGAGACGGCCATACGTAATGGCCGGCTGCTCAGCCAATTGGCCCCGTTGCGCGCCTTTGGCGACTATCGCTACAAATGGTCCCTGGACATAATGCAGAAGAAGGTGGTGCCCCTGATCGGGGAGCAGGCGATGGCACCCAACTATTATACGCCGCCGTACCTGACCGCCCGGCCCGATGTCCAACAGCACGAGCTGAGCGTCAACGATAAGTTTCTAGTCATAGCCAGCGATGGCCTGTGGGACTTTCTGTCGCCCAGCGAGGTGGTCAGCCTCGTCGGTGAGCACATCAACTCGAAGAAGATACTTGAGCCGATGCGGCTGCCCGAGGGCAATCCCACGCTCCAGCAAATCTCCGATCAGCTGGCCGAACGCAAGTGAGTCCTCATCCATTCTGTCCGCGTACTCGAAACTAATCCTCTTGCTTAATTTCTGCTGCAGAGCTGGTCTCACACGCAAGCCGATTGATCAGAATGCTGCCACACATCTGATCCGTCATGCACTGGGTGCCACCGATTATGGGATTGAGCACTCGAAGATCTCGTATTACCTGTCGCTGCCCAAGGATGTGGTGCGGCTGTATCGCGATGATATCACCATAACCGTCATTTACTTCAACACGGAGCACATAGCCGGACTCAGAGATGGGACAAGCGCGCCGGCAGCGTGATGATCCCCTTGCCGGACTTTTCTTTATTTCTCTTACCGCTCTGCTTGTGTGCATGTACAATATTTATTAACTGTACCGGACCGCTGCCACTACTTCCCACTCCCACTCTCACTCCACCATCTCTTCCTGTGGCACCCAACCAAAAGCCTTTAGCTAATCCCTAGGCTAAGTGTTTGCGTTTAAGTTTGTTTCTTCGGACAGTAAATCCTCTCACTACAAATCGAGAATCAAATCATTTTTTTTTTATTTTACAATTACATTCAAATTACAATTTGTTTTGGGGGGGCAGGGATTATATATATGTATATATATATATATGTGTATAACTCTTCTTAGAGTTAATCTTACATAGAGTATATATGTATGTATGTGTGTATGGTGTGTTTGTGTGTTTTGGGGGAAATTCCTAAAGCTAAAATGAAGAGAAAACTTGATAGAAGAACTCTGGTGTGTGGAATCCACACACGAGGTTTGGCAATAAACTTGCAAACTGGTAAACGGTACGATCCTAAGCCTATACACAATGATTAAAACTAAGCAACTACTACTGGAGAGTACAACTATTAGCAAGAGGGAAGCAAGGGCAAGGGGGGGTAGAATGGTAGGGGTGGGCATGGACATGGACATGGGATTGTGTCATCTATATCTTAGTTGCTTAGTCTTTGCTATCCTGCTCGGCCGCCTCCTGACGGCCCACACAATTCAAGAACTCCATCTGTATGTGTGTCACCTGGGTCTTGGTGAAGCACTGCATCTTCTTTTTAAGGAAATCAAAGAACAGATCCAGCTCGTCTCTCTTGGCCAGCGCCTGGGCCACATGATAGGCATGCTGATCCTCCTCCTTGATCAGAGTGCTGCTGCTGGCCGCACTGATCGCCAGCGGTGGACAGGGTCCATTAGCATTCCCGCCACCGTTAAGACCGGCTCCACCGCATGTCAGCGGCGGCAACTGAAGAATGGTGGCTGTGGGCGTGGTATACGATGTGGTGTTGCACAGCGCCGATGACGCTGCCGGCGATGTGGTGACCGCTGCGGCATTTAGCGACACAGCCGGTGTGCTGGAAATGGTTACGCTCGTGCTGGTTGCCTCTGTGACATCCACCAAAGAGATTTGCTGTGTGGAAATGCTCTGATCGTGACGGCTCGAGACGGCTGCCGCAGCCGCCGCGGCTGCTGCCGCTGCTGAGGTGGTGGTGACCAGCGTGAGATTCTTGAGCTTGCCGTCGGACACAACGGCGCCGCCAAGGACACTGTTGGTGGTCGGCCCGTTCACACAGCTGCCCGTATACTGATGATGATGGTGGGGAGCGGACGGCAACCGAGACGGACTGCTGGTGCGGCTGCGGCTCAATGTCCGATATGCAAAAGTCATGGGCATCGATGTAGTGGAAGCTCTTGCTGTGGGTCACATCGTTGCTGCCATCCACACCGTCGCTGACGCCCATCTCGCAGTCGACATGGGCACCGCTGGCCTCCTCGTACAGGCAGACCTCCTCGTAGTCCACCTCGGTGCCGGTGGCCCCATCCTCGTCCATCTCGTGCTTGACAATGTCCACCACATGGCCGTCGTGATCGACCACATCATCGTCGTCGTCCACATCGTCGACAACATCGTCATCGTGGGCGATCTGGGACAGCTCAATGCTGGAGATGCTGCCATCGTGCTGCGACTGGTGATGATGATGATGGTGATGCTGCTGCTGGTGATGATGGTGCTGATGATGATGGTGCTCATGATGCTGGGACACCGTATCGTCCGAGACGCCCTCCTCATAGGCTGTCAGTATGAATGTTTCGGCCTCATCGCCAACCAGGGTGATCTGGGCATCATGATGCGATGAAATTGCCGTATCCGACTGACCATCATCGTCCCCATCATCATCGTCATCGCCCTGGTCCTTCAGATGCAGCATGGAACCAATGGGCAGCGTTGTGCTTGTGGCACTGCTCGCCTCATAGTTATTTTGGGTGCGATGCGACTTCAGTTTCGGCTGGTACACGGTCGATAGGAAATCCAATTCCTTGGCATAGCGCCACTTGGAGAGACGCCCCTCTATGCACTTGGGTGTGCGTAGGCGATACTGATGGTACGTATCCCTGAGGTTCTTCCACTTTCGTCTCACCTCCTGCACAGTGTATTTATCTGCCAGAACGTACAAATTTAGAAGGAACACCACACACAAAAATATGAAGAACTGCTTGCTACTCACGACCAATCTTTTGGGCCACCTCCTGCCATCCGCTCAAGATGTCCGAGCGACGCCGCTGATTCGGTTGCAATTTGTAATTGTACAGTGCCGGATTCTGGCGCACCAGATTGATTAGCGTCAGAATGTCGTCGGTGGGCGCATTGTCCTTGTGGTAGCGTTTCCGCTCTGATGTGGACGACATGTTGTTTTTGTGTGGTCTCGACTTCTGTTGCTCTCCACTCCTCGCTCCAGTAGTCACATTTAATTTTCCACACAATCTGTGCTATGTGGAGCAATCGGTTGTTCTTTGCTCTCTCTCCCCAGCAAATGCCAGGCAATGTTATTGTTTTCCACGGAATGCGGTTCCAGACTTTTTGGTTCGTCTGCTCATTGGCGAGGTCGCACACCAACACCAACACTAACGCACACACAAATGGCGCGTAGGTGCGCGCTTGCCACACGGAACACG